TCTGTACCTCGCGCCGCAACCCAGTTGCCTCGTCGGAACTGAGCAAGTCAATCAAATCCTCGTTATACACTTCTATGAACGACCCTTTTATGCTGTAATTCCAGGTCCCGCCACGTTGTTCTTTAAGTTTTCTCGCCTGCGAGAAGATAGTAGAGACGGCTCTCGGTATGATGCCCATGCCATTATTAGGATCAGAGGGGTCCGCATCAAGGTCCACACCAGTCATGGTAAATGTCTTTCCGCTGCTTGTTTGTCCATAGGCAAGAATTGTACAATTAAATCCTTCCATGAAACGCGAGATGAGTGGCTGGGCAGTGCTTGTGAAGAGCGAATGCTGGGTAACGGTTGGAGGGTGGACTTGATCGAAGGTGAACACCTGCTTTTTACCGGCGGCAGTTGATGGAGTTGCGACGGCAGTAGCAGAACCAGATGCAGTAGGAGCGGCGGAGGAAGCATCTACGGTCACGCTAGTAGAAGACGTTCCATGAATGACAGACCGTTGAAAACGAGCGGGAATGGATACAGTATCCTGTGTAGTCGTTGGCCGTATGCGCAAAGCTTCATTCAGAAAATTAGCAACAGGTAAAATAAAAAGTCTAGTACAAAGCTCACCGACTTGCACGGACGTCGACGCGCCCGACGACGACGAGGGCGCCATCGCAATTGTTGACGAGACTAGTAGTTACTCTACACAAATCTCACAATATGTACAACACCCAAGTATAACGGACATTGCCGAATTGCTCCCGAATACTAATTTTGGGCAGGCTGATTAAGGTTGTAATACGTTTACGTGATGGACTACAACCGAAGAATGATATTTTGCTGTTTCGTCGTCAACATCTACGACATCTCCTGAGATCAATAACAAACTGTGCTAAGTTCGAGTTCACACCGGTGCCACCCCATTTCGTTTGGGGTCATTTGATCTCGTTTGACGTGTCTACCCGTGTCAGGGGCTCAGGGTGCGTTCCACTGTGCAGGATTCATCATATTTACGTCAAGTCCTATAGCGGTGAAGTTGATGTGGCGTTGCAACAGAGCTAGAACTTCGGTCAACGTTTGAACTGGTGACCTCTCGTACCAAGAGCGAGAACATTTTCGCACTTACAGGAGAACTCTATGTCTGTCAGCTTGAAGTTCATGCATGTTTGGACTATCAAACGAATTCGAACCTTTACAGACCTGCTTTTTGATAATTCCTAGATGTTGGATGATTGCCGCTGCACCAACACGCCATCAAATCCCCTCTTCAACTGAGGCCACTCAATGATTCAATTTGAATGATGGTGCAATTACTTGTATATTTTTTCAGTATGAACACGAAAAAAAAAAGAAAAAGGGACTTATATAGGATTATGTAAGGCCCTTGGCAAGGATTCGTGATCGAGTCCTGGGATCTGGGAAGTTATCGAACTTCATTTCTCCGTTCTGATCAGTGAACAGGAAAGGCGCGTTGATACAAATCCGGTCTATATCGGCGCACTCAGCCCACATGCGTGAAAGCGGAAGCCGCACGAAGATAAGTAAGTATACGCGTACGTGGTTGGCGACGTTAAGGTGTTGAAATTTTTTAAATTGCCCAGGTTTCTTGTTCCTGTCTACCTGCCGCGGTTTCCCCATAGGACACCTGGTAAAACAGATATTCCTGTCCGTCTATGTCCGTGAAGGTGCATTAAAATTCATTTGTGTATTCCTTTTGTGTATGAAAGGCAATGAAAAGGCGGACGCCTCGGTTATGCATATCCCTGACGACAAGGCGAATAACGATAACAAAGAATCAGCCTCAGAATCGATAAGAAGGAGTAGGTAATTGAGCGTCACTTACGGCTGTTTGCAAAAAGTACAGGGACTCTAGGGACAAAAGCCTTTGTCTAGAGCTTTTGACCATTACACAGCAAGGTGCGAAGGAACCTTAGTTGATGAGGATCGAAACATTCGCCAGCGGGCGATGGAAGGAACTATCCCGGTCTGTGAAGTAACAATAAAGAAGAGCGTTCTAGTATCGTTCAAGATAGCCGAATATCGTTATATTTCAGTGAGACATTTGAATGTGTATCGTGGAACGGAATAGTCCAGGTGTGGCTAAAGAAGACGAATAGAACAATTGGCCACTTCCAGCGCGCAGCACTGTGCTCAGTGTCATACACTCTGAATTGTTAGCAGGAAGGGTGTCTGTGAGAGTATACCATCGTTCAGGATACAAAAAGCAAGAAGTAGCTCCTGGAGGTAGAAAGGCGCGTATATTTGAAATGTCATTTGACCAGACGGCCGCCGTATCGCCGGTAGAGGTAAGAAAGACATTCGAATGTCTGGCCTAGCCATTGAAGACAGTTTTGGCACCGACACCGAACTCTTCCAGGGTAAGTGCTTCCAGTGGCATCAAACTCGTCGACGATAGTGTGCTCTGACAAAACCAAAACGACACGATGTTCGGATCCACGTTCAAACTCATTGGCGAGCCCCGAAGACAGTCATACCATGTCGAGTATTGTGGTTTTGACGGCACATAGTTTAATTGCCGTGTCATTCTGTTCCGTTTGCGAAGATCCCGAATTTATCTTGTACAGCTGTTACAACCTGAATATATAGGAGTAATATGGGTATGTTGAAGGAACCGAATCTTGAGAGCGAAAGAAGAAAGTTCGTGAATGAATGATCGTGATGGATTTGTCGTAAGGAGAGTCGTACGATGCACCGTGCCAAGTAGCCAAGCTAGTAGTGCATATCAGCTCCCGCCACTAGACTCATGAGGAAGGTACAAGGGCTCACCAAGGCCTCGCAGAGAATGAAAACGAAGTACGAAAGCGCATATACTGCCAAAATTCAAAGTGTAGCTTAAGCTCTCTGAGTGAATGTATCATGGAAGCCATATCTTGATTATCTGGTCAACGCCAGCTGACGCGACAACATTCACAAGCTTTTCTGCTTCGCCAGCCTTTGCATCCGCACCGTTTGCTTTCGCCATGGAAACCCTCTGCCGACCCCATGCAAGCGTTGCTACAAAGTGAGAATGTGCCTCCACAGTCTTCATGCATCGTCCTGTGGACAGCTCCCACACACGTATTGTCTTGTCATCCGCTGCCGACAAAAGAAGCTTGCCAGAGGGGTGGAAGACAAGTGCGCGCACCCAGTTGTCATGTCCGGGCTAGGGGAAATCAGTAGGCAGCTGCGCAAAGGGGAGTATGCATACAAGGTTCTTAATCATCTGTCCGCTCTGAACGTCCCAAAGCTTGATGGTCTTGTCTCGGGATCCAGTAGCAACATAAGCCCCGGGACCCTTGGAACCCACGTTCTGAATGGGAACGATTTAGGATACGTGACCACTGCTCATAATCATCTGGTCTTACTGGCAGGCCCGCAAGCTCACGAATGGCGGCGTATGCAGCCACGGGTGCAAAGCAAACCGTTTCTAGCTCATTATCATGCCCTCTTAGCTCTCCTTTGCATTCTCCCGTCAGAGGATCCCATAGTTTTGCAGTCTGAAATCTCGAATATGAGAGGATGTTTGTTGAACGAAACATGAAGGCTTGCCTTGTCTTTTGACGCACTTGCAAGTAATCGGCCGTCATCTGAGGGCACCGCGCAACGCACCCATTCTGAATGACCGGAGATCGTTCGTACTAGATGTCTTTATCATATGTGAAGTCAGCTCCCTTGAATAAATGCGGGAGTGCACTCCTACGTTGATGCAACATCGAAAACGCGAATTGTGCTATCTCGACTTGCACTGACGATATATTGATCTCCTGGCATAAATCGGACTGAAGATACCGAGTGATCGTGCCCTGATAGTGTCTTTGTGTTCTTCCACTCATTTTCAGAGTCCCATATCTTGATAAATAGGTCAGACGAACATGTCACTGTAAACATCATCACCGATATGGACTCATCAGCGGTGCTTGCACACACGTGCATGTCACTCACCGAGCAATTGTCCCTTGTGATCAAAATCGACATCATGGACGGCACGGTGGTGTCCCTTTAATGTCCGTTCGAACTCGCCTGTTTCCCAGTCCCATATCTTCACTGTTGCATCCTCGCTTGCAGAGGCCAATATCGAGTATTGTGGATGGAAAGCGACGCGTGTGATGTGACCTCTGTGGCCGGTCAACACGTGTGCTGCGGGGGCGCGAGGTACCCAATCTGCTTGCATTGCAGCACGTTTTGATGGAGCAATGGATAGTTCTTCTTGAAGAGATGCATTTCGGGTCTCGAGATCCATGATCTGCAATGAAACATGTGTTCGATCATCAACACGGTGATAGATGCACATCTCGGAACGTACCTTCTTCTGTAGCCGTATAACGCTGGTCCATTTCTTCTCCAATAGACCTGCATACTTGGCCTTGGGATCTGGTGTATACTCCACCCCAGTGTCCTCCTTTAACGCGTTGTAAGCTGCTGTAAAATTGCTCGTATGCAGGTACTCCAGCATGGATTTATGTCTGCATCGATACACGGCCATGGTCAGTAGTAGACAATTATTCTGGAGCCCAGTTCACGCACAGTTCTTCTTTTTGACGGTCTGAAAGGAGCGCCATTCCGACTTCAAAAACTTGTGAACCGCTTTAACGCACTTGGGCTGAAAACTATGGGATACAACGCGTCAACGAATGTTGTCACTAGTACTGTGGTCCAACTCGACAAGTCACTGGCCAGGTCTTGTTTTGACTTGTTGATTTCTCAAGCTTACCTGCGAATGGACGATACTGAGTCGGGCGGCTTAAACATGTACAAATAAATAAAGGCGGGCCCATCATGATGACTTGGACTCTTGACTTGCAATAATTATATTGTCACTTGTCGAACACCGTTAACGTCGCTCCGGTATTTGCACCTTAGTAAGCCCATCAGTGAAGTTTCCTGATGGCCTTTTGCCCGATTAACCTGCTTCACCCTTCGGAATATGCTATATTAATAGTTCAGGCTGCTGGCAATCAATAACGGGCGCTTCCAACATTCATCATTAATAATAATTCTCATTGCAGACATGTAGACGCCAGTCGATCCTATTTGCTACCACCACGCATCCCACTTACATTACACCAAATCACGCACACCCACCAATCTTTCTCACTTACTAGATGGATGAACACAATCCTCCTCGCAAGAACAGCTGGAAGCAGCTGAAGCCAAGTCATTCAAACCCTCATTTGGTAGAGGAGAGAGGCAGGAGGACAGCCAGTCACGATGTATGAATTCTCATCTTAGCAACTACATCATCTCTAATTTTTACAGCCGTCTTCTCTCTCACCTTCGAGGAATGGATCTCATGTACGACGCCCAGGCCCAGTTTGCAAGCTCTTTGGCAAGGTGACCAGGCGCTTCGCTCGAAGCGCTCGACAATCCCCAAACCCTGAACCCATGGCTGCAAGTTCCAGCCTGCAGGACGCCCAACCTGTTCAGTCAACTAAGGTTAGTGTAATCTAAACTCTGAATGTGCCCCGTGTGCTGTGATTGGTACTAATTGATTCTGCAGGATCTCACCCCTCTCACTCTCGAACCAGATTGCGAGCAGTCTTCCAATCCAGGGATTGTAGAAGTAAGCTCGACTAACGAAGTTCGGAATATCCTCATCCGTCTCTTTCGACAATGTGCTGACGTCTATACTTAGGCCGAACATCTCGACCCGAAATTTGTGAACGAAAGAATCGCCAATGCTAACAAAGGTCTCGCAGGCGCCAGCCACGTCTCAACAATACTCCAAGATACTTCTTCCGCGACCAACAACCTACCATCTGTTTCTGATACAGTCGATACGTTCTCCGTGTTGCTCAAACCGTTGAAGGCATTCAACTCCATCGCCAACGCGATTGCAGATGTAGAAACTATCTCTCTCTCTTCTGTACGTGACTAACATTCATGCGCAGGTCCATCCCTACGCGAAGGTGGCACTGAGCATCTTCACTTGCGCATCCAAGGTAGGCCTCTTACTCAATCATCGCCGTTGCAGGTTGACAAAGTTTCGGTAACAGATGATTCTCGATCAGGCAGACCGTGACGTTGCTGTTTCTCTTCTCCTCTCAAAGATATCTGAAGTCTATACTTTTATCACGGAGGAGGAGGAATTGGCTAAGATTCAGTCTATGCTAGCGATATATGGGAAGATAGCACAGCAGACGCTGGAGTGTGCTGATTTCATCAGCCATTACTCTGAGACGAAGAGCGCCTGTAAGTTGATCCCACTGCGTCGTCCCCCCAGACTCAATGTTACCTGTTCGTATAGGGATAAGACTTGGCAAGCATGTTTTCGATGAAACGGACGCCACGATCCAGAACTACAGCAGTGTCCTCGGCAGTCTCATGCAGCAATTCCGAGACCGGGCGGCTCGTGATACCGTTGTGATCGTCCACCGTATGGGTATGAGTCAGTTTTCAGGTTTCTTTGAACCTCATCTGACATTCCACGATCATTGGCATAGCTGAGAGTTTGGACCTCGTAGGCATGGAGTACGCAATGGGCGCAGGATTAAATACGTCTAAATGTTGTTTGCCAAATACTCGGCAAGACCTTCTGAAGGATATTCAGAACTGGATCAGCAGCACAGAGGAGGGTGCTCCCCGCATCTTGTGGTTGTCTGGCACAGCAGGCAAGGGTAAATCAGCTGTCGCCCATACAATAGCCAACTGGTACATCGAACACGGTGGTCTCGGCTCATGCTTCTGCTTCGATCGTACTCGGCAGGCGGAGCGCCTTCAGAATAAAATATTCACGACCATCGCAAGCGATTTGGCGGACTGCAACCCTATCGTGCGGCGAGCCTTGGCACAGGCAGTTCGCAATCACAACGGACTCAAGCGCACTCCAGATATCACAAAACAATGGCAGGAACTAATCATCGGTCCCACAAGCATAGCCTCAAAAGCCATCGCTGCACCCGTCCTAATTGTCATCGAGGCATTGGATGAGAGTGGTGAAGCTAATTCCCGGGAACAGATTCTTCGTCTACTCGCTGGCAAATTAAACACTTCCACTTCACAACTATCCGAACTCCCAGCCGACTTCCGCATCCTCGTCACTTCCCGTCCCCTCGAAGACATTCACAATACTCTGCACGCTGCACCACATGTTCGCCATATTTCCCTGGATGACATCTCGCCTGTGTCCACAGCACTCGACATCGAACTTTATATCTCCCACAGGCTAGAAGATCTGCGTCACACTTTCAACGATGCCCACTTCAAGGCGCTAGCTCTGAAATCTGATGGCCTGTTTGAATGGGCTCGTCTCGCATCAGAATATATCAAGAGCACGAACATCGTGAGTCAAGGCCCGACGCGCCGTTTCCACGACATTTCTGAAACATCTGCCAAAGGCGTACATCTTCTGGATGAGATGTATCAACGCATCTTGGCAGATATCATGCCAACGCACATGCATGAGGAGGCGATTCCTATCTTTCGGTCCGTAATGGGTCAAATTCTTGCATCGTCGGAACCACTTCCCATCAATGTGTTGAACACGATGCGGCAGTGTTTCCCATGTGATGATGACCGCTACGACGTAAAGTTGCTCTTGGGGCACCTTGGCTCGCTTGTCTCCGGTACCTCAGATTCTGATATTCCCATACATCCCCTTCACGCATCATTCTACGACTTCCTCACAGATGAATTGCGGAGCCATGACTTCTTTGTTGATGCATCAGCGGCGCATAGAGATCTTGCCTTCGCCTCGCTTCGGGTCATGGACTCGGAGCGCGGGCTTCGCTTCAACATCTGCTCTTTAGAGAATTCATACTTGCCCAACTCTTCCGTCCCTGATTTGGAGAAACGAGTCAAAGAATCCATTCCGACTGAACTATCATATTCATGTCGGTTTTGGGGGACTCATGTCGGATCTACGTCCTTCGAATCACCGCTAGCTAAGGAAGTTGAGGCTTTCTTCGATGGAGAGCGCCTTCTTTGGTGGTTGGAAGCACTGGCTCTGATGAGAAGCCTCAGTGGCTCGGCAGTGACCCTCTCATGTATTGCAAATTGGTTTTCGGTGCGTAGCTCAAGCTCATTCTTTTCCCATCAAATTCTTACGAGTAGTGAGGTGGTTGTAGAGTCATGCCGAGTTTACGCATGTCAGTGACGCTATCAGGGATACCCTGCGTTTCATCCGCACTTTCGCAACCACCATTTTATGCAGCACTCCCCATTTATACTTGTCCGCTCTACCACTGTTCGCTCCAACGCAGTCGAGAATATTTCGCAAGTTCGCCGCAAAGTTTCCTCACACCTCCCGCATTGTTGCTGGCCATATCGAAAATTGGCCTCCGATGGAAAAGACGATCCACACAAATGTCGGAGTTTACTCGGTTGCAATGTCACCAGACAGAAAACGTATTGCATGTGGTTTATACGATGGAACAATCCAGATATGGGATACAGAGACTGGCGAGGCATTGTGTGCCCCTCTTCAAGGCCACACTGGCTATGTTGCATCTGTCGCATTCTCACCGGATGGACATCGCATCGTTTCAGGTTCAGCAGACAACACAGTCCGGGTGTGGGATGTAGCAACCAGCAAGCCATTGGGTACCCTTCCAGGGCACACTGACTTGGTTCGTTCCGTCGCAATCTCGCTGGATGGAAATCACATAGTATCGGGCTCAGATGACAAGACAATCAGAGTGTGGGATATGAAGACTAGCAAGGCAGTGGGGACCCCTCTCCTAGGCCACACTTCGTGCGTCAACACTGTTGCGGTCTCCCCAGATGGTCATCGCATCGTCTCCGGTTCAGATGACAAGATGATCCGGGTGTGGGATATGAAGACTGGCCAGGCAGTGGGTACTCCTCTCCAAGGTCACACTGACCTTGTTTGGTCTGTTGCAATCTCACCGGATGGGAAATGCATTGCGTCTGGTTCACAAGACGGCACGATTTGGGTGTGGGATATGGAGACTGGCGAGGCATTGGGTGCCCCCCTCTTAGGGCACATGGGCCCTGTTCGGTCTGTTGTATTCTCGCCGAATGAAAATTATATTGTGTCTGGTTCAGGCGACCGGACGATCCGAGTGTGGGATGCGAAGACTGGCTTGGCATTAGGATCCCCTCTTCAAGGCCACGGCGACTGGATTCGATCTATCACAGTCTCGTCGGATGGAAGTTGCATAGTCTCTGGTTCAAACGATAAGACGATTCGGGTGTGGGATGCCGACACTATTACAGGCAAGGCATCAGTCACTACCTTTCAAAGCCACACTGGCTCCATTAACTCCGTTGCAATCTCGCCAGATGGACATCGCATCGTGTCCGGTTCAGCTGACAAAACGGTTCGAGTGTGGGATATAGAGACTGGCAAGGCATTAGTTGCCCCTCTCCAAGGGCACACTGAATCTGTTCAGTCAGTTGCAATTTCGTCGGACGGGAAGTGCATTGTGTCTGGTTCAGCTGATAGAAGCATTCAGGTGTGGGATATTGGGACTGGCAAGGTTTTGGGGGCACCTCTTCAAGGCCATACTGACGTGGTCAACTCTACTGCGATCTCGCCGGATGGACATCACATCGTTTCAGGTTCACGGGACAATACAGTCCGGGTGTGGGATGTAGCAACCGGCAATGCATCTGGTACTCCTATCAAAGATCACACTAACTGGGTTCAGTCCGTCGCAATCTCGCCGGATGGAAATCGCGTAGTATCTGGTTCAGCTGACAAAACAATGAGGGTGTGGGATATGGAGTAGTGAGGCAGTAGGCGCTCCTCTTGAAGGACATTCTGACTGGGTTCAGTCTGTCGCAGTGTCACCGGATGCAAAATATGTTGTGTCTGGTTCAGATGACAGAACTATCTGTGTGTGGGATATTGGGACTGGCAAGACATTGGGCACCCCTCTCCGAGGGCACACCGACTATGTTCGCGCTGTCGCGATCTCACGAAATGGGCACCATATTGCGTCCGGTTCCAATGACAAGACGATCCGGGTGTGGGATATGAAGACTGGCCAGGGAGTGGATCCCCTTTCCAAGGGCACACCGGAAGCGTTCTGTCTGTCGCAATCTCCCCCGACGGTAAACGCATTGTATCTGGTTCAGAAGACAAGATCATCCGTGTGTGGGATATAGAATTTCTTAACCAGCCCCACCCGCCTGCAGTATGCTTTTCATCTGACCCATCCCACGCTCTTCATTCCGCTTCTTCCTTTCTCCAGGATCCCTCAACCCCAGTCTCTGTTGTTGCGAACGAGGATGGATGGGTTGTAGGTCCCGACGGACGCCTTCTTCTCTGGATCTCACCCATTTTGCACCCGGTGGTGTATGCCCCAGGAAACACGCTGGTGATACCCAATCATGCCTTGCAGTTCGATTTGAGTCGTCTCGCGCATGGCATGTCTTGGCATACGTGTCGGGAACAGGAGGCTGCTTTGTCTTCGTTATGATTCCCTTGTATGTCGTGTCACGCACTACACGCGATTCGTATCATACGTGTTTGAATACACACATGCTGCATTGAACGTGTGCATATGCAAAAGTTCGTCACGCAGTTGCAGACTACGCGATCGAAGTCTGACAATGTTTGCATTTTTTTTTCCTTTGCGAAGATTCTTTGCGTTTTGCACAAAATTAGAGTTTTGCTGTCTGGAATTTCTTAGATTTGTATTTGTGGTTAGACATCTGTCTACATGCGTATCGGCCTGATTCTGGTCGATTTTCACTGGGAGATCTCAAGTCGCGTCTCTCACCACCAGTACTGAGGTTGTTATTAGTTTATCACACATTTTCAACCTGCATTATGACTGTGGTATATCTGATATATACTAGTGCTGGATCAGTTCTCAGCTGTCTGATCAATATCTATGAATGCTATCGTATGCAGTGTCACTGCAGACGTCCCCGGTCAGCAGCCACCTCAATAGTTTGACAACGGTCAACAACATTTATAACACGGCCAATGGCCATCGTGTGTTAACTACTGTCGGGTCATGGTCAGTCCTGATACTCGAATATGGAACATGGTTTTGTTATTCTTACCAAGCGGGCAGGTAAACGGATTGCTTTAAATTCCTGAACAACTTCCATCATGGCGGACTCGACTGGCAGCCGCTCGAGCGAACTAGCACCAAAGAAGCCATGAATGCCTGAAACCCTTTCGATGTCATATTTTGCGTCTGATGGAGTGGCCATGGGACCGCCGTGGCAAAGAACTATGATTTCTGGTTTGATCTTCACAGCTGCGTCCAGAATCTTCGCAATCATCGAGGGGCAACGCAGTTTTGACACCAATAGTACCGCTCGTCGTGAGGCCCATATGAGCTACGATAACATCAGCTTCCGCCCCGCCCCATCCGCGTTGAAGACGTATGGAGCCGTCGGGAGATCGAATTCGTGTGCCATTCGGATCATTTCAACTCATAGCTTATTCCTGTTTCCTCCAGGTTCTGTCGAAATACACCGTCAATGAGGTCAAATGTAGGGAAGTTCTAGACTTCGGTGAAGCCCAAGTCTTTGACACGCCTGACTATTGCAGTCAGCATGTTTGGCTTGACCACTCTCTGTGCAGGTGGCTGGCTGGAGGAGCTGTGATACCCTGTAGTGACATTCCATGCCACAACTTGAAGTGCTGGGGGTTTAGCAATGGAGAGTCTCGTCCGCGAGAGCCACTTTGTTGGGGTGCTTGACATCACCACCACTGAACTAGCGGATGAATTAACGGGCGGCGTACTCACTTCTGGTCCTCATCGCCTTGAGGCAGCAGCAAGATGTGGTATTCCACAGACGGTGTGCCCTTCGGATCGGCGGACACCGTTGCAAAATAGTTCCAGGGGCGACTATTCTATCATAAACCAGATGGATTCATTGCAATTTGGAGGTCGTCAAAAAGACATACATCGATCTCCCAACAGCCGCCCCCAGATTCCCCGACCGCAACTTGAAGCTCGTATTGTATGTGCAAATATGTAAACGCCATCGACCCAGAGCCGTACGATCGTGAGTTCGGCAATATGATAGTACTCGACTTGAAGACTATATTGGTCGACTTTCCGTAGTCCTAGATTTCTGTCTAAACCTTATCGGCGGTGTTTCGGCTGAATTTTGGAAGAGAAATTATCTTCAAACCGTGACTCATTTGAAACGAGCACTATATGGATGTATTGCATGATACTCTGGAGAATGAAACATACCACGAATCCAGCTGTACATGTATTGGGACCCTTCTTTGACATAGACTGGTGACCAGCCCGTCTATGAGGCAGTCTATCTTTGACAGGCGGAATGTGAAAATATCGTTCGATTGCCTAATAAGATGACATCGGCTTATCGGCACAGGAAGGTTGAAAGTATTGAAGACGCTTCTAAATCCTACACAAAGTCATCCATTAGGAACGTTTGCTGGTGCCGAGGGCGGAGCTTTGGACGGAAGTTGAATTTTGCACGTTTGGGAATGAGTGTGTCGGGTAAGTATTTCTCGCAACCTTACATCTGTCGCCGTCGTCGTCGTCGTCGCTCACCAGAATGCTTACCACCCGCGGCGTCACCCGCCTCTCACGGAGAGCGGCCAACAGTGCAAAAAACACAAGCCGGTTCATTAACACCGCTGCTTATTCTTTGTCGCGGGTTGCCGTTCCTTCCTCCTCCCAAAAACAAAACACAGCTGTTCGTCCTTCGCGTGCATCAGTGCAGTATGGTCAGTTTCAAGTCTGGGATTGTTATCTCTACTACTTACTGAGTTTTTCTCGCTTTTTTCGCGTCATTCTATTTGAACCGGATGAACTCGGGTTATAGCACGGACATATGCAACGGAAGCGAAGGGAGCTGCTGGGACTGTGAAAACCGTCATTGGTGCCGTCGTCGACGTTCAGTTTGAGACCGATGCTCTTCCACCTATTCTCAACGCACTGGAGGTTCAGGATTTCCACGGTGGTCGTCTTGTCCTCGAGGTCGCATCGCATCTCGGCGAGAACTCCGTCCGTACCATCGCTATGGACGGTACCGAGGGTCTCGTCCGTGGCCAAAGGGTAGTCGACACCGGTGCTCCTATTCAAATTCCTGTCGGCACCGCAACTCTCGGCCGCATCATGAACGTCATCGGTGAACCCATTGATGAGCGTGGTCCTATAAAGGGTGTCAAACTCTCGCCAATCCACGCCGACCCTCCTCCATTTGTTGATCAATCAACCACTGCTGAGGTTTTGGAGACTGGTATCAAGGTCGTCGACCTTCTTGCTCCTTACGCCCGTGGTGGTAAAATTGGTCTTTTCGGTGGTGCTGGTGTCGGTAAGACTGTGTTGATTCAAGAGCTTATCAACAATGTTGCCAAAGCCCATGGTGGTTTCTCCATTTTCTGCGGTTGGTTAAACTTTTTCTTTTTCTTTTGGTCGGATCAAGAGCTTATTTCCTTTGTTTAATAGGTGTTGGCGAACGTACTCGCGAGGGTAATGATTTGTACCATGAAATGATTGAGACTGGTGTTATCAACCTCGAGGGTGACTCCAAGGTGGCTCTCGTCTTTGGTCAAATGAACGAGCCCCCTGGTGCACGTGCTCGTGTGGCGCTTACTGGCCTCACTATCGCTGAGTACTTCCGTGACGAAGAAGGCCAGGATGTGCTACTCTTCATCGACAACATCTTCCGCTTCACTCAGGCTGGTTCCGAAGTGTCTGCTCTGCTTGGTCGTATCCCCTCCGCCGTCGGTTACCAACCTACACTCTCGACCGACATGGGTGGCATGTATGTGCACTAGTGTGTTCACTGTAGTATTGATTTGACCTTCAATGTAGGCAAGAGCGCATTACTACCACTAAGAAGGGTTCAATCACTTCAGTGCAAGCCGTCTACGTGCCCGCTGATGACTTGACTGATCCTGCTCCTGCCACCACTTTCGCTCACTTGGACGCTACCACTGTGCTGTCGCGTGGTATTGCCGAGCTTGGTATCTACCCCGCTGTCGACCCCCTCGACTCCAAATCACGTATGCTTGACCCTCGTATTGTTGGTCAGGAACATTACGAGGTTGCCACCGCCGTCCAGAAGATTCTTCAGGACTACAAGTCTCTACAGGATATTATTGCCATTCTGGGTATGGATGAGTTGTCAGAAGAAGACAAGTTAACGGTCAGTGATACAAAGACAAAAGTAATGCTCAATGCTGACGCAGACTAGGTCGAGCGTGCTCGTAAGATTCAGCGTTTCATGTCGCAACCCTTCCAGGTTGCACAGGTCTTCACGGGTTATGAAGGCAAGCTCGTACCTTTGAAGGACACCATCCGCTCTTTCAAGGAGATCCTTGCTGGTACACACGATAACTTGCCTGAGTCTGCATTCTACATGGTACGCACACATACATAAATTTGATGTGGAATTTGTTGACGCGTTGAACAGGCCGGCACAATCGAGGATGTCAAGTCCAAGGCTGAGCAGCTCGCCAAGGAGATAAGTGGCAACTAGATGAGACATATGTACTCGCTCTACTTATCGTATATTGCTGCTATCCACGTAGAATAGAGCTAGTCTATGGATTAAAGATATCATCTCCATATTGTGCTTCCGGCAGGATGTGTGCAGTGCTTTACTTTGTTTCTATAGCTTAGGCCTTAGGGTTAGCACTGAGTTTGTGCATGTCAGTGTACTAGGATAGGACAGTAGGCCCAGGTCGGTGGATGAACATTGAGCATGTATGACCAGGTATTTTTGTCCTGAAGGCTCGTGCATTTCATTGGATCCATCAACCACATGCTTGCGGCGCGTCACGGTAGTGTGGACGCGTGACTCGGGCTCGAAATGGTCGCCAACGCGCTATCATCAACATTAAACACACACCTCAATATTCAATGCCCGAACCCAACTTCTACCAACACTCCATGTTCAACTCAGCTTACCACAAACCACCCTGGAAGATGAACTGCAGACATTACAGCATACCCTGACCAAGACTGTTGAATCTCAGATAGAAGTGCGGACTTGGAGGAAACAAGTGGATGATGAGATAGGAAAATGCGAAGGAGTAGAGTCTGGTTGTGCTCGGTATTCGAGAGCGCTGGGCACCCATACTAAAGTTGCTGGATCGCTCAGCGATCTGAAAAAAAGGTTGCCAAGGAGATATGAAAGCGCCACCGTGCTGTCGGTATCAGGAGAAGCTAAGACAGGTCAGTCAGATCTTTTGTACGCGTGGTCTACTGAGATGACAGTCTCTTAGATCTATCATACGAAACTCGAGCAACTCACAACGTATTTGTGCAGATTCAACAGCATACTAGCATGGATTTATGTCCACATCGATAGCACACGGTTATGATCAGTAGTAGACAAATGTTCTGGAGCCAGGTTCACGCACATTTCTTCTTTTTGACGGTCTGAAAGGAGCGCCATTCTGACTTCGAAAATTTGTCGGCCACTTGAACGCACTCGAGCCAAAAGCTATGGGATTATGGATACGAGGCGACGCGTGACGTGTCGACCGGTCAACAGATGCTTGCCACTAGTTATAAGTCACTGGCTTGTTTTACCTTGTTGATTTCACAAGCCATGTCAGCGCTGGACCATTTCTCAGCCAAATTCAATATCTATTAGTGCCAGTGCTACTGCAGGCGTCCCCTGTCAGCAGCGGCCAGCCACCTCAATAGTTTGACAACGGTCTAGCGTATCTATAACACGGTCATCGTGTGCTTTACTGTCGGATCATGGTCAGTCCTGATACTCGAATATGGTTTTGTTATTCTTACCAGACGGGAAGGTAAACCGATTGCTTTAAATTCCCGAGCAACTTCCTTCATGGCGGACTCGACTGGCAGCCGCTCGAGCGAACTAGCACCAAAGAAGCCATGAATGCCGGGAACCCTTTCAATGACATATTTTGCGTCTGGTGGGGTGGCAATAGGACCGCCGTGGCAAAGAACTATGATTTCTGGTTTGATCTTCACAGCTGCGTCCAGAATCCTCTTGATCCGGACCACGCAATCATCGAGGGCCAACGCAGTTTTGGCACCAATAGTTCCGCTCGTCGTGAGGCCCATATGAGCTACGATGACATCAGCTCCCGCCCTCGCCATTCGTTCGGCCTCGTCCACGTTGAAGACGTATGGTGTCGTCAGCAGATCGAGTTCGTGTGCCATTCGGATCATTTCAACCTCCTTCTCATAACTCATTCCTGTTTCCTCCAGGTTCTGTCGAAATACACCATCAATGAGGCCAACTGTAGGGAAGTTCTGGACTCCGGTAAAGCCCAGGTCTTTGACTTCCTTCAGCAGCTGTGGCATATCCCGAAATGGGTCCGTTCCGCATATCCCTGCTAAGACTGCCGTATCTTTCACGATGGTCAGAGTCTCACGGGCCATTTCTAGCATGATGGCATTCGCGTCGCCGTAAGGCATCAGGCCCTAAACAATCAATCAGCTGGTTTTCTGCGGAGATAGAGACTACGCACTGCCAAGGACCCTCGGCCAGCCATCCGATAACGACCCGAGTTGTATAGGATAATGAGGTCAATTCCTCCCGCCTCTTGTATCTTTGCACTTAGCCCAACCCCTGCACCTCCGCCCACAATCGCCACCCCTCGGCTGATGTTATCCCTCAACCGCTTTAGCACCTGCTGCCGTTTCGACGTCACTTTCTCCGTCATTGTAGACCTCTGACGAGAATAGTGCCCCGCATTTTTCCACGAGTAAAACGAGCTCCGTCTTGCATCCACATGTATGACATAATCCGGGACGGCACCCAGGCTCGTACTAAAGCGTGTTATGCCAACTTTCAAAGATCTCCCAGACCGTGATCTACGTCAACGATGCTACCCACTGTCGCAGTTATAGGTACCTGCGACACCAAGTTAGAGGCTCTTCTCTTCCTTAAACGCACTATTCAGTCAACTGCCGTCTGCGATGCTATCCTGATCGACATCGGGTCATATCATCCGTCTGATTTGCGGGACATCGACATTCTCCGCTCAGATGTATTGAAAGAACGTACAACCATTGTTCATGATGCATCTTCCCGCGGAGAAACCCTGGAGACTATGACCATCGCCTTAACGCAGCTTCTAGCACGTTTACACTCAACTCAGAGTATCGCAGGGGTCATCGGCGCGGGAGGCTCGGGTAATACGAGCGTCTGCACGAAAGCGTTCCGAGATGCCTTACCCATCGGCTTTCCTAAGCTGATGGTGTCCACTATGGCGTCGGGGAACGTTGCCCACTATGTGGGTGAAACAGATATCACAATGATGCATTCTGTCGTCGACGTCGCCGGCATGAACCCAATATTAGAAGTCATCCTAGGAAATGCAGCACATGCTATCTCAGGGATGGCGAAACGTTCTCTTATTCGTGTGGATTTGAAGTCATCACGCCCGACTATTGCAGTCAGCATGTTTGGCTTGACCACTCCCTGTGTGCAGGTAGCTACCCAGAAGCTGGAGGAGCTGGGGTACTCTGTAGTGGCATTCCATGCCACAGGGACTGGAGGATTAGCAATGGAGAGACTCATCCGCGAGGGCCGCTTTGTTGGGGTCCTTGACATCACTACTACTGAGCTTGCGGATGAACTAGTGGGTGGCATACTCACTGCTGGTCCTCACCGCCTTGAGGCAGCAGCAAGGTGTGGTGTTCCACAGGTGGTGTCGGTGGGAGCCTTGGATATGGTAAACTTCGGATCAGTGGACACCATTCCGAAACAGTTCCAGGGGCGACTATTCTGTCATCACAACTCTTCAGTCACTCTGATGCGCACCTCTCGCGAGGAATGCTCAAAGCTCGGTCAGATCATGGCAGAAAAGCTGAAGGGAGCCCCCACCAACAAGACACGCGTTATCCTGCCCTTGCAAGGTTTCTCGGGTATCGACAAAGACAAAGGTCCATTTCGCGATGTTGAAGCGGATGGTGCTCTGCTGGATGCACTAAAGAGTGGTTTGTCGTGTCCAGTGGAAGAGCTTGATGTGGATATCAATAACCCTTCTTTCGCATTGAGGGTCGCCCTAGCATTGCACGAGCTATTGCAGGCGGACAGACAGTAGATTGTAATATGGTGGAAATAGCAATGAAATTCTCGACTTCTGCAATACCAGTGTAATATAGATAGGGAATAGCAGGCAAAACAGTTACAATGTAGCGAACAAGCAGATATCCACGTCCATTCAAAGTCCCATGTCCATGGCCGTTGTACAGCTGTAGTGTAGCATATCCGGTCCTGGTGAATGTGCGACAAGGGAGGCAAGAGAGGCTATGGTTACATTATTGAACGAGAAAGAGAAAGATGGAGAGATGGAGAGATGGAGATACTCAACATACTGACGGATATACAGACTAGGAAGACATTCGGTGCAAAACATAGAAATCTATATCCAATGTTAGTGATGGAGGAGCTTTTGGCATTCCTCTGCAGGAGGAGAGGGAAAGGTCATGAAATCGTGAAGACGCTAGCTTTAGTAGGGCACACTGCCCATACCCATGAAGTTCTGTCCAGGGGGACCAGGGCTGGGGTGACGCATGACACTCTGGTGCATGGCCTGAGTTTGCTGCATACCGAAGGGTGGGCTCATCATGCCCATCCCCATTTGCATAGAGAGCAAATGCGGAGACAAAGCACCACCCATGGCCGGCGACATTGCGCCGTACATAGCAGGGGTGTTCGCCATGTTTGCCATGTTCATCGAGAACATAGCCTGTTGTGGGGGAGGAGATTGTGATGGTGGTGTGGGACCATCGGGTGTTCCCCCTTGTTGTTGCTGATTTACCTGCATCTTCTGCATCGCTTGAAGCTGCTAGCGATATGAACACCAACCCAAATGTCAAATCTCCATTACGCACCTCGTAAAAGGCAAAGTCCTGCAGCAGAGAAGTCCTCGCAGGGTGGGTGTGGAAGATACGGAGCATTTCTTGACCAGCTTCAGGTAACAGCTCCTGGGTGTCTCGGGAGTTTGTCACTGGCTTGCGTTCTTGAGTGTTACTGACCAAACGGTAAGCATACAAGCATCGCTGTTAGTGTGGCAGCTCACTTCAAGCGGATGTGCCTCAAATTGGCGTTCGGAATATCACGAACGAAGATCCATCGCACTTTGAACACACCTTTCCATTTGTCGGATGCCCATACCGTACTGCTTCTTGTGTAGTCCACCTACAGGGAAGAAGAAATATGAACTTTGGAATTCCGGGAGTAAAGCATACACACTGGAGTTAACATTTCCGCCATTCCGCAAAAATGTCCGCTGGGGGTGAAAGTGAGCAAATGTTAGCAATGAATCACCAACTCACTTGCCTGGCATTCACGCTGAAGAAAAGGTAGATGGGACCCCTCCCACCACATTCTTTGAAGGCCTTGTCAAGTCTCTTGTTGCCGGGATCAGTAGAACTCCATATCTCGTATTTCAGAGATTTGTGAACATCATCTTCCGTGTATGACTTGATGACAAAATAGCGGGCCTAGGCAGTCTTTAATTAAGGTAGTGATTTCAAAAGCAATGAAAACGTACAAAACCAGGACGAACATCGAAATTGGGCGGATTGTAACCTTTTCCAGCAATCAGGGTCGGAACGTCCACCGGAGTGTTGACGAACCCGGGAACGGGTTGGGCGTTGTTCTCACTTTGTGTCTGTCCTTGGCCAAAGGAATTCCCCATTCGCGGAGCTTGACCGCTTTGTTGATTAAGATACTGCGAAGGAATGGATGGTACATTAGGGATGTTGCTTTTTTGACCCTGATTGTATCGGTAGTTCAGGTTGGGGTTAGAAGCGCGTTGGCCAAGCTTCTCCTTTTGCTCCCAAGACGTAGTACCGGTGGCAGTCATTGCACGTTCAGCGTCGTTCATGGGACCAGCGCGCGATTGATGCATTTGTTGTTGAGCCCCAACGGACTGGGCGTACACGGGGACGTTGACAGGCGTTGGTCCGGGCTGCGCAGTTGGGGTCTTACGCCCATCAAGATCAGTGTTCAACTGCAATTTGCGAGAGCTGTTACCGGCGCCCTGAATGTTTCCCGAGCGCATACCAGGGGAAAGGGCGGGGGGTGGATGAGTGGGTTGGAACCGAGGAGGATGGGCAGATTGTCCTGCTTGATATCCCATATTACTGACATAGATATTGTTGTTGATTTCGAGGCTGGACAGAGCACGCGTGAGGTCATCAGGATTTCCTGCCGCGGAAAATGATCCGCCAGGGGTCCGCCACTCCCCAGTGTTGGGTGCGTTCCATGGAGAGGACCGCCCCATAGGGCTTGTTGGATATTGTCCTTGTACAGCATATTGCTGCTGCTGTTGGCCGGGCGCAGGGGAAAGGGGGCCATAGTAGGACTCGTCTTCGTAAGGATTGACAAGCTCCTGTTCCTCGATGTACTCCTCCTCTCCATGTGGGGGGCTGGGGCTATGTCCGACTGAGGGATGACGTCCACTTCCTTGAACAGTCCCAGCACGCTTGAGCCCCGAAGAGGTCATTTGCCTGACACCACTCTGAGCCCCATAAGTCAGGCTCTGATGGCGCCGCACGCCTGACCCGGCGGGAGGTGGGGAAGGGACGTGCGAAGTTGAATATTGAGGTGATAGAGGGGATGGATTGCCCGTAGACGGCTGGGATTGGGCGTCAACGACGTGTTGATGCTGGGCAGACTCAGAGTTGGACATGTCGTGCTGGGAAAAGACAGGTGAGCATAAAAGTTGACAACGGAGATGAGACGTGTAGCAAGTCCAATATTGGACTATCCATGAGGTGGAATTCAAATGATCACCAGTGGCGTGGAGGATGTAGATGTAAATTAAGCAGTGACTCACTTCGTCGTCATTCTGGAGCCCTCTCATTTCACTCTCCCAGTCTTCTTCGTCGCCTTCGTGACCTGCGATAGCGGACAAACTATTCATAGTCCTTGGGGTGAGATTCCCCGCCTGTCGTGAGCCTTTCTGCCCATGGAAGGCTGGAGGGAATATAACGGTAAGCTGTGAGCAGGGATCTAATGTAACTTTCACATACCCTTATACTTGGTGGGGAGAGAGCTTTGTCGGTGCAATGAGACTGTTTTCTCTCCCACCGCGCCAACTCCACCAACCCAATCCTCGTCGACGGGCTCATCATCATTCCACAGTTGTTGCTCCTGTGTTTCTTCAGAAATGACAGCACGGGCGCCAGCCCTCGCTGCACGAGATGACGCTGAGATCGTATGATGACGCCGGACGCCACCAGTTAAAGGAGGAGAGGCTGGTACGAGAGGAGGGGAAATCTGATGTGTCCCCTGCGATGACATCGGCGATGATTTTTACGTCTGCTGATGTCTTAACTGGACAGACTGACCAGAGTAGGTACTGATCAAAGCGATCTAGCAGGAATCACAAGAGAAAGAAGAAGAATGGAAAACGTGGGTGAGTTACCGACTAGAGTCCGAACTTCTCATACGCTCTATGAAAGCTGTGACACCGCACGTCCACATATCATGTTCCTTATATATTCGACTCATTGCAAAAATCGTTCGTTGTATTGCATTGCATTAGCACAGCACACAGCTGTACCGTGATATAGTAAGGTACGTAGGATTAGCAATAAGTGTTTAGGATTGTCGCATCTAACAGAGTCGACGGCACTGCATGTGCTACCCATGCTGGACTGCACAGCGTCAGTAATTCGACAGCCGCCATTATGAGGAGGGGACGACTGCCTCCGTTCTGTTGAGGTTTTACAGAAGCTAGGCTGCCATAAGAATCAGTCGAAAAGGAATCCGATAACGAAAGCAGCAGCTGAAAGGGTCTTGCAAACACTAACCAAGCTCATCAGAGCCGCCGCTCAGATCTTAGCGATAACAAAACACCGCACCGATTTCCTGCCAAGCTGTTAGCCGAGTGAAGATGCCCGTGTTGTACAGCACTGCGGGTGCGGTCAACATATCCCGATTTTTCCCATTTGCCGCGTCACCAGAGAGTAACGCGGGAAGAGCGAATACTGTCAAAAGGATGATTTTAGTCACTCAAACAAATACTCACGGTTACAGAAGACAAATGACTCTCACAAAAAAAGAAGGTTGGTATGTAGTTGAGTATAATAGTTGTTGTTCCAGGCGAATGAATTTCATATGTGCTTCCTGTGGTGCACCGCTCTTGAGTGGGGGAATGAATGAATAATACGAAAGCTCCTGACGCTTACCTGGCTCTGTGTTGCAGTTCTACTGCAATATTATCACGAAGGTGGCACGAACCTCAAGGACTTCTTATAATCACTCCAGATTTTCCGACGGTGATCGCTGAACCGAATTAACTTGTACAGCGAATATTGAATACTACGCTGCATGTGCCTAATTGATTATCGAGATTCAGCGTTATCGGGCTACTGCGGGCCGTACTACGGCTGAACGTACCGCTGCTCTGCTCCGCAGTGACCATGCGGTGGAACGAGATTAGATCATCGAGTTGGTAAAGTAAGAATAACACAACTTACCACCCACCAACGAAGCCCTTCCGGAGCGAGTGATAGGGAATAGTCCGCGCGACTGGGAAGCGCCAGTTATTGGTGCTATGATCATGTGGTTCGACTTCAGTTGAACCCTAGGACTTTGAAGTGACACTTTGGAGTATAATCGGGACGAGTGCGCAATTGATGTTTTACGCTGATAATCATTCTATGTGTAGCTTTCGGTTTTCAGAAGTGAATATATTGAACGCTTAATGATACTAGGGGCCGGCGTTGCCGACTAATAACCTTGCTCCAATTGTTCCCGCGTCTTCATTTTATTTTCTCATCCCCGATTTTATACGGCACCCCTGGACCCGGTATTTCGTGTATCTTGCTTGCACCATACACATATTTTCACTCCGACTATTTCTCAACTTCGCAGCTCCGTTTACCTTGACCAACGGATTGACGCTTTGTTCATTTCCGGAACATGCCGGATGAGTTTGAAAAGTCACATGATCATCGTCCATCTGTCTAAAACGTTTTCTGCATTGTTTTCGAACTCTCTTGATGTATCTGTGCTCACCGCGAGGCTGGTACGGCCGATTGCCCCAAGCCAAGTGGTGCAGTCGCATTCTCGTCCTCTATCCAGACCTTTTTTACTACTCCATCCATGTCCCCTGATGGGACCGCGAATGAATCTAACTTTCGAACTTCTGCATAAGTAATCTGAATTATACTTTCGCGACCTTTTGCAGCTGTACACGGGTGAGCTGGCGAAGTGCAGCTTCATCGATGTCGGTTGACGATGGACAAGACATTTCTGTTTCGTTTTGCGCAGTGTAGGATTTAATGT